CAGAACGCAGTGAAAAATTGTGTGACAGAGAAATCTGCCTGAGTTTCAAAGATTTATGAGACTTACCATCTTGCTTTGCTCGTTGAACCCTATTGCGACCCAGTCACTTCTCGCACTCAACTCAAAGCTGATGTTATCCTTATTTTGACAAGGTTCAAAAGTCACAAGATAGTCACAGTTTCGACTGGACGAACAGTCTGTGGGCTCAGAGTAGCAGTTCTTAGTCTTACCGCAATCCGATTTTGAAAACTAAAATGAAGGCAAAAGTACAAAATAAACTTAAAACAAATAAATCGTTTCCACATGATGTCACGGCGGCAATATTGGTGTTCCCAAACACGGCCATGTTGGTGTTCCAAACCAGTCCTGTGGGAGTTGAACTCTTTTCTTGTGTAAACGGTTTCTTTTGTTCCAATAAATTGTATAGATGCAAGCCACGTGAGTGAAAACACTCTATTAAAAAAGCATTTGTAGAACGCCTAAATGTAATAACTGACAGAAAATGTAGTAAAGTCCTAAATGAATAACATTTCGCCCTAAGTGTAAATAAGTCCAAAATGTAATAACAGTGTGGCCTTAACTGAAATAAATTTTTAAGTGTGACATTATTCGGCGTTAAATGTTATGACGTCGTGCTGACGTCATCAATGACGTAACACGGCATTGAAGCTGCCGACATGATTTTACTACCGCGATTTCAATGAAAAGAAGAAGAAACACGTAAATACACTAAAAGGGATTCAGTAAAAAAGTATTCTAGTACCTCCAGTTTTCCATCCGGCGTTGGCGCTGGTGGCCTGCTACGACCGTTTTTCAACACGGCGGGCAGCGTGAGGTTAACGCGTTCAGCACTGAACGTTGCGTTTTGGTAGTGATATTGCAAAGCACCTGTACTGCCTATAGTACAGAGAAGTGAGAAGTCCGACGTGAGCTGTGCACTCTAACCAGACGTATTGGGAGATCAATGAGCTGGGCCCGTCTACCCGTTCTGAATCTGATAGGGATCAGTTTAGGACCACTGATAGACTAGTTAGGAAACTAGACTGCGAGCAGTCCCTCAGGATGGTCACGCGAGCGAGGAAATTAAACGAAGCGAGCGAAAGCCGAGGGGAAGCTGGGGAGGAGGTAGTTTCCCTCTCGACCAATTCGCTCTCTCCAGTCCTGCCGAGCTTAGACTCGACTGACTGAAGAGGGACTGCTCGCAGTCCACTAGGAAACTGTTAACTTAATGAGAATGAGCATCAAAAAAGGCACATTAAACCAGACAGACTGTAGGCAAGGAGCACACATACACCACCCTTGCGCTTGCGTGAGTTACTGGCCAGGCCGTGGTTTGTTAAATTCAAACCAGTATAATTTTTTTCCTTTTTTTCTTATAATAATGACTTGCTGCCAACTGGACTGATACGTTGTGTTATTACTAACGGATACTTACTAACGCTGCCCCAGGCAAAAATGAAAAACCAGTTCTTCATTATGAGGTCTCTCTTGTGCGGACTCGAGGGTGAAAGCTTACGAGAAAATCTAGAAATAAGCAGAACCATTGAAAAACCCGTGATAAATAAGGTCAATCAATGAAATGCAAACACGAGAAATACAGGTTTTTGTCATAGTTATAATTTTAAGGGTTGAAAGACAACTTATCATGGCTAAATCATTAGGTACAATAAATTATTATTGTACTATTATGACAATTAAAACAATTTACAATTCTTTGCCCTGTTAACCAAAATTAAGTTGATCATCCTTGATCTCCTATGTTAATCTTTTTTAAAACCTGAGCGACCTAAGTATATCCATATTGTGCTTACGAATAGACAAGATAAAAGAACTTTGCTGATAGTCGCTACATTTAATTTTTTACCTGCATGTTAATGTCCCATTTTCATAGCTAGCCATATGGCGAACAATGTCATCCGTGTTTCTCTGATGAAAAAGATCAAGGTTTCATAATATAAAACCCATCAAACATTTACCGTATTTCCTCGAATAATAGCCGGGGGCGATTATATCTTTTATCGCACAAAAAGGGTGCGATTATTCAAGGGAGGTAATTATTTCAAATATTGCTCACTGGAAGCCGTGCCCTAAATATATTTTTTTATTTTCCCGTTAAATAAAAAAATAATCACATCAAATAAACTGAATATGGGCTTTTTAAGTGTTCCAAATTTAGTTCCATGATTAATTTTCCTAACTTGAATCATCACTGATCAGTTTTGCTGGATCAAAGTGCACTTCAACTTGACAGGGAGAGGATAAAAGGAAGAGAAGATTGCGAGAGGAGCAGGTGGGAGGCGATTATTCGAGGGAGGCGATTATTTTAAATATTTCCGTCATGGAGGGGCCATTATTCGAGGGAGGCGATTAATCAAGGGACGGCTATTATTCGAGGAGAGTTTGTCAAAACACATGAAAATGATTTTTTTTTTTGTTCAGAATATGTGCGCAAGTATAATTCCTGGGATGGGGTACGGCTTGCGTTAACTGTCTTGCTGGACGTGACCACGTCCTTTAAATTTAACACTTTTTTGTGATATTGTTATTGAGATAGGTGTGAGGTACCCCGTCCCTGTCTCTTGTTCTATCCCTTAGGTACAAAATACGTATGGCGAACAAAGTCGTTCACACTTACTATGTCAGTTCGTATTGGCTGACGAAAAGCCAACAAGTAATGTCTAACTTCAACAGCGTTGTTTGAGGATGTTGAGCAGGAAATTGTATCAGTTTGGTTCTAAAAAAGGAAGGCAATAGTACATAATTAATCAACGACTGAAAGGTAAGAAAAGTTAATGTAAAACTGAGTACAAAACCTAGTATAGAAAAAACTACATTTTGCTGCGTTGGTGTCGCGCTAAACGTTGACTGATTGATGTTTGAGTTCTTTTTTTTTTTGTCAAGTCAGAAAATTTGTTGGGCCTCGATGCAGGACGATGGCGCCCTTTGAAAATTCGTTGGCATCCGTAATAAATCTCAATAAAGCGTAGGTAAACTGTAGTGATGTAGTGTACTTCCTGTGCAAATCCAAGCCCTAGAGAATCGTGGGTGTGCAATAAAGAGGGAAGGGGCAACGTGAAAAACGTGTCTGTGTTTTTCCTGTTAGGAGATATCTGCATCAAAGACTGCATTCTCCTCAGACACCTTTTTTTTCAATTTGATCGCGAACAAAGGCGAGCGCGAAACGAGAGTGATCGACTGGTGGCGAAACGCGAGGGACCACGGGAAGCAAAAAGAAGAGGCCAGACGTCTCGCTCGTGTTCTCCTTCCCGCCTTCCTTTGCGCGAAAATTTACATCAAGAGAGAGAATTCTAGGAAGGAGGCCGCTGGTGATCAGGCTGGTGTACAGACATTATAAATACCTACCATTTCTTGTTTGTCATTAAAACCAACAGCAATGTAGCGGTGAGACCCGCTCATCTCAAATGTGATGTTGTCACCCTCCGCCTTGAAAGTTATAAGGAATGCACAATTGGAGCTGTTTGTGCAGTATTCTGGCTCGGAATAACAACTCTTTTCACTTCCACAGCCTTGCTTAGTTATCTGAAACATCAATAATAATAATAATAACATCACTTCTAAGGATATTAAATTATTTTCAGTCTAAACAGCCATTTCGACTTGGTCAGTTGTACCACGCGAAGGTCCAGCGGCTTGTCGTTCTTCCTCATTCGCCACTTAAGAAACAAGAAGAGGGCTGGAGCCGAAATACCTCCCGCAAGTGTCTCTGGGGTCGTTACAGAGGACACACCGGTCAGCTATTGGCCAATTTTTTCCCCTGTCCTTACTAACAGACCCAGAAGTCTTTGCGAATATTAATTCAGCCCAGTTTCATTCTGGGGTGAATTCATTCCAGATACATTATTACAAGTCAGGCCTAGGGAATAAAGCCTAAAAATGCACATGACCACCATAAAGCGACGCTCCCGAGAACCCACTTTGCAGGGCAGATCAGCGCTAAGCAAAGTCTTACATAACAAAACTTGATCATTACTTTAATTTTGAAATCCAATTGATGCGAAAACACGTTTTAGCTGTTTAAAAAGACACCAAATAGCGTGACACAGGAAGACTCTTCAAGCCTTACCCAACCAAAGATGTCCTGCATCCGTTATATTTAGTTGAGTTATATTTACCTCAAAGCTTGGTTGTAGTGTTGGAGAAGGCCGTGCAACAGCTGTAGGCCCGCTGACCTCTGCAGATTGGATTCTCACCCAAAATGTTGTATAGTTGTAAAGAAGACTGGCCCTGAGTGAAAATGTCAGGTATACCTTTAAACAGCTGTCACCTCCTGGTGCTTGAAAAGTAATTACATTTTGTTTAATATGAACTCATATGAAGAACCTATTCCTAGACTGAGTTTTCATCAAAAAAGACAAACTGAACTAGACGAAAAGTAGATTCAAATTTCGCTTTATGGGGCAGCGTTTCAAGCAAATTCGAAGAGGTTTTGGAAATATCTATCATTTATATTAAGAGCGCAGCGCTTTCCTTGCACTGGTTGGTTTGCGTAAACGACAATCACTAGACATGTTGCTCCTTTTTACCAAAAAGAGATGTTCCCAACAGGGGCTTCCGGTGCTTTCCAGGTGAATTTCAATGAAATCCACGACTTGTCTGCCAGGCCAGGACGGCGATGGGCAACTGTATTCTGGTGATGGAATAAGGATAAAAGAGAGCGATGTTTAGAGTCTTTAGAGTCAAAAGGGGAAAGAAGCATAGAAAAAAGTAGGATTTGCTCTTGAGATGCAGAGGGGAGAGGTAACAGATAAAGGTCTAGGCAGAGAAAGAATATAGAAGTAAAATTAAATGAGGAGTATTGGCCATTCTAAGGCTGCGTGTGATGAGGTTGGGTCGGATTTGCGTCGAATTGCATTGTGTGAGACTGTTTTGGACACGTTATCGTTTCATGATTGGCTATCAGTATAAGATCGTGGGGAAAGGCCCACCTACCCCTCCCCAACCCAACATTTTGCTCTAAGCGAGAAGTAAGTGTAAACGTTAGGTTAAGGGAAGGGCAGTGGGGCAGTTTCTTGGAATTTTTTTGAATCAGTAAAAAGATCCTGAGAAACTTGCCAACTACAACTACCAGAATTCATTTCGTTTTTGCTTTCTTAATTAAAAATAATATCGATAGCCCTAATTTTCACAAGAAAACAACAAGCTGAAGGATTCTGGTAGTTGTAGAAAAAGGAGGTCATCGTGTAATTTTCCTATTAGAATGTACCTGCGGTTCGCCACCGGAACACCACATATAAGTCTGGTTGCTGGGTAGGCTACCCTGAAATTCTCCAACTGGTAAAGGACTTCCTGCAGCACGCGCTTGGATAATGAAACCCTGTTAGGATAAATATATAAGCATCATCAGTAAAAATCTAAATTTTTCACAATTTGTTCTTATTCGTTTGGAGGGGGCTTTGGGACGACTTAACCGCTGTATTGCAAGAGCCGAGGTGATAAATTGTAAAAGACTAACGTTCGCGTTTTATGGCTGGTGATGCAAATTAGAACTTTCAAGGTAAAGCGTCTCACATAGCCTGCACGGCAGACGTAATCCCCGTATTTCCCAGTTAGTGACGTCTGCGAAGCAGGGCGGAGATCCTTGTTCTGGGGTCCAACGGACTCAACGTTTTACTTGAAGTGCTTCTGGAATTTTCCTTCAACCTGATTGGCAAATCATCAAATCACATTGACTTTTCAACAGGCTAATTATGGAGCGTCCTCAAATCCTGGTACAAGGGGTGGGGTCCATAACAGAGATTTCTGCGCTGGCTCGCTGATGGACTTAACCAAAAGTCCTTTTTCTTCTGTCTCTGACACAGTCTAAGTTTCACAGGTAACTGGATGTTAAAAGTAAGATCCGAAGATCCGTTTTTCCTTTTTATTCACCTTAATTCCCATAGTTCCATTAATCATGACAGTCATCATTCCACTAGGTGTATAGCTCGTGTTGCTCACGTGAATCGAGTAAGGGTTAGTGTTCATTGGCTGAGGTGAAACAAATTGTAATGGCTGGAGCTGATGTCCTGGCATAAGATATTCACAGACTGTAATTGGTACATGAGTTGGGTACCCATGACAAGAAAGTAAGCCATGTGACGTCAGCACAGCTAGTAACCCTAGCAACAACTGTTGAATAACAAACTTCAGACAGACGAACGCTAGCAAATTTTAGTTTCCTAACGTAAATGTTAGAAAAAAAAGAGAGAAAAAAAAGCGAATAATGACTTAATTTCCAGATACCAAGATACTAAGGAGCTTAGCATCGACCACGACGACGACGGCAACGAGAATGGCAAAAAAAGATTGGAGTACGTTAACAAAACAACAACTCTGCAAGACCAAGACGTAACACTGCCCAATTCACCAATTTTACATAGTACATAATGCACCTTGTTTGACCGACCCCCCCCCCCCCCCCGCTCCTTTAGAATTCAACTCCAGAAAAATTTACCAATATTTGACAAATTGAACGACGTGGAATAAGAGCGATGCATTTCAAAACAGCATCAATTCACTTTTTATGAGAATTTTTTTGCCATCGTCGTCGTCGTCGTCATCGTAGTTGCTTAAGCTCCCTACTATGGCTGCCCTGCCGAGCCTCAGATTACGAACGTCAAAACTGTAACAACAGCATCCTCTATGCGAAGATTTCAGCGTTTATCTTGACTATCTGAGATCCTGGAACAGAATTCGAACAGACTTATCACGTGACAGTACTGATCTTCACTTAAGTATGACTGTTATCACACCAGCGGCTCTAACAACACTTGTTTTTGCTCATAAATAGACTGCAAAACAGTCCGTATTTTCGCGTATTCAAGTACGCGCGAAAAGTCAAACAAAAGGTCTTGAGTGAGGCTGAAAACGGAGAACGAGACTGAGAAGAGACGCTAAACATACTCTCGCGCGCTTCTCGTGCGTGAGACTTTTAAGCTATCAAACCGATTTTGAGAAAAACACCGACTGTTTTGCGGTCTAACTCATTACAAATTCACATTACATCACTCCCACATGCATCGAAGATCGAAAATGGCTTTTAAAAACAGTAAGTTGGCACCGAGAAAATTGCAATCAAATTTGATGAGTTTCTAGTTGTTTGCATTGGATGGAGTCGTGAAATGCAGGCTATTGTTAACAAGGGGTTCTTACAAAGTAAATGACCAAAGAGAGTAAGTAAAAACCCTTTGTTTAAATTTTGCAGAGTCACGAAACTACGATCAGGTCGGCCCACCCCACCTGATGGTCCATTGTTTCACTCATGTAGGTGGGGATGTTATCATCGTATACATGTCTTGAGTTAACACGGATTGCAAATGCAAATATGAAAAATTTAGGCTAAATCACTTTACGATGCACGAACCATGAGTTTCCCGAATCTCCTTCTAAAATCATCATTAATCTTTTCATCGCCTATTCGGTGTTATCCCTAAAACCTCATAATATGGACTAGGGTTTCCTTCAATCTTAAAAAAAATATCGTACGCTGCAGATACCAAGGATATATGTGAAGCAAGTGGTGAAAGTAATTTTAAGAGAACAGCAAAAAAGAAGTTGCAAATTTTGTTGTTTACAGCGAACATGCCCTGAATATTATAACAAAATGAAATGAAACCGAACATACAAACAAAAAGTGCAAAGTAATGATAGGAGATGAAACTGAACTATGCAACTATTTGTACCCAGTTTAGTTTTTTGCCTGGCGGTGCATGAATCTCGGCTCTTTTAATTAAAAAAAAATCCATCTGTGTCTAACGTTTTTAAACCCATTTTTCCCGGTTTACTCTGGTGCAATTTAACGTACTGTATGGTTCTATCATAATAATCCTCTCAGAGATGGCCGTGTTATTTATTATCTGAGTGTGCATGGCTGGAGTTTATGTCGATTGTATGGGAAATTCCTTTCCTCTGCCGAAAGAATTATATTTCCTTATTATGAAATCCGCAGCAACTCCATGAAACAAGTCAATTTTATTTTCCTCTCTTTGTTTCTCAGGCTTATTTCAGTAGATTTTCTTTTACTCGTTAATGCCCCTCATATATGAATAAAATAACACTTGTTAGTAAGAGCTGACTAACCTAACAAAAAGCATTACGTAATAACTTAGTGAACAGTGTCCCTCAGTACCACTGAATTTATCTCTGCCATCGTGGTTTTACCGATTAGTGGCCTTATTTACAGTACTACAGAGAAGACGTTTTTCTATCCCGAACTTGTTGAAAGCCCTATAAACTCATTACAAGCTAGTACACTTTTAACCCTCAGAACGCATCCATCCATATGCACTGAAGCCGCGATACTTTGTCGGTAAAAAAAACTCTTCAAAGGCAAACAAACAAAAAATAAACGATACACTATCAATCAAAGACTTTCGTAAGACCAGGTTGCCTTTGCATTGATCAGAGAATAAGAGAGTGCTTGATTGAGATAACTGAGATTTCTAGAACCATAAGTACATTATCACACTAAGGGTTTGAAATACATGATTGGAGTTTCAAATTGGATCTTGAAATATATAGTTTCATTTGATTTTCTTGTCAGCTATCTTTTTAATTCCTACCTTTGAGTTCAGCATCTTTTACGTGCAACATGCAACTGCAGACGGCGTATCAACGTTCTGACACCTGAGTGCTGCGTTTAACTAATACGAATGCAAATCCGGAATAATTGCAATATAATCATTTGTTTATTATCACAGGTTTAGATGAAAAATGTCAAATATTCAAATGAGCTAACTACTTCTCATGGAGTGGTGATGCTGTGCAAACTGTCCCATACGCAGGTTAATTATAGCTAATTATCACCCATTATTTTTGGTAAACAATTTCAAACACCAGTACTTGCACTTAAATCATGGATTTTTTTAGGAAATGAAATAAAAACAAACAAACAATACCGGTATGTTGAAGAGAATTGATTGAGTGATCACAGTGCATGACTTCATACGCCGGCAAACAAGAACAAATAAAAAAGAGTAAAAAAAAATTATTTGATGTAGATTTGTTCATTCGCCAACGATCATTATGAGTTCCTCTATTTTTATCAAGAAACCAGGGAGAAAACTTACACTCCGCAGTTTCTAACAGATTGCAAGAATATTCTTCAACATAATTATGTTTGTGTTTTCTCAATGAATTATTGATGTCTAATGTTTTTGAACTAACAATAAAGAACCGCTTCCAATTTTCTGCAACAAAGCGGACCACGCAGCAGTGTGTGCACTCAGAAAACGAGTTCCTGTTTGCCAGAGTACAAAATCATGGCATAAGCCTCATTTTCTTTCGATTCATTTCAACATTTTATTAAGTGCTTAGGAACTTCGACTACTATAGCAATATTCTATATTACACCCCTGTTACTTACAGTAGACCAACGAAGGCAGTATAACTTTATTGTACCTTAACATTCTCTTTACAGTGAAGGGTAGCGCAATTTGTTCCTTTTTTAGAATAAAAAGTATTGGTTTGTTCACCGTCAAAAGTTTCATTAACTAAATGGTGCCAAATGAAGGCGAAATTTTACAAAAATGGTTGATTACAAGAATAATACTGTTTCTATAAAGGATCAAAATGTTAGAGTTCCCGTGTATTGTGCAGATATTGATGATTTTTGCTATTAAAAGCTATAGTTACATGTATATTTAATGTTACCTTTTCGATTTCATGTTTATCAAGATTCATTAAGAAACACTCTAAATATGATGTTATCTTTCCTGCTCCTATAACGGTTAGGGCACTTGAAATTACCCATAAATTTTTGTTTGACTCTTTATTCACTTACTAGTGAAGACTAATGCTGTCTTAACTTTGTGGCTAATCTAACAGCAAATTAAAGAAATAATTAAAAGGATTTTTTTATAAGTAGAATAAAAACGATAAAACGTAAATCAAGACGTTTTTAATCATCAACTGACTTTATATGTTACTTCTTCTGGGTTATAAAGCAGGAAATGAAGCGGGAAATACGTTCACTGTCCACTGTATGAAAGCCAACCTGCGATAAATAAACAAATTGGCACTAATGAAACTAAGCTATTCATTGAAGCCAAGTTGAATTTATTTATATATCCTAAGATGCATGGGCAAGAGCTAGTTAGTGTAGGCTCGGTTCAAAAGAGGATTGGTGTTATTGCCACTACATAAACGACATAGAGAATGAGTACAAGCTTCCACCACACCTATCTCCGAGATCGCGTAGTTGAACAATTTTAATGAAAATATAAACAATTGGTTAATGGTTGCCTTGGATTCCACGGATGAACAATAGCAATCGCTAGCCTTACCATATTATCCCAGAAATCATTGCACCTAAAGCTGGTAACCTTTCTCTATCAGCTCTTATAGAGTGAATAGCTAATGCGAGTAAAGCCTTCAGGTCACCAGAGAAAACATGTATGCATCCCCAAGTGAATGTTTACTTACTTTTTGGTCAATTCAATGATCATGATTGCCTTCGTTTTCTTGTTCTTTTGAGACTGCTATCAAAAGCACAAGCGCCATCACTACACAGGACACAAGGAGAGCTAAGAAGCCCAGCATGAAACGGCGGAGAGAAACAGACTGGGAAGATAATGGAGAACAATGAAACAATAGTTTAGCAAATCTCAACCAAGTTTGATACTATTGGCGCGTATAAGCCCTTTTTTGCAAGTTCACCGTTTTTAATCCGACGGTCAAAGTAATATTGTTTACATTCCGATTTCTTTTTAACCGCAAATTTCACAGCACATCCATGCATTAATCAGCCAATCACTGGTCAGTTGTTCCCGACAAAGAACTCTGACCTTGAAGTTCATCAATCAATCAAAACCGAGAACATCATTTCAAGTATGTACGTTTTGTTGGCCCACTGAGGTCAGGTCGAAGTTAAGTTAAGTTCATTGCCCTGTAAATCAAAGGTGCATAAAGCGGCTTACATTTCAAGGCAGCTCGTAAGATGGTATTAATAGGGAGCTTAATTTAAGTAACAACGACGCCAACGGCAACGAAAACGTCACTTAAAAGGTGAATTCGCGCTACTTCAAACTTTATCGCACTTATTCCGACTCGTTCATTTCGTCAAGTGTTGGCAATTTTTTCTGGATTTGAATTTTAAAAGACTGTATCAAAGTTTAGGAAAAGAAAAAGAAAGT